TGGCAATTTCAGCCCGGGCTGAATTAAAATGTCAGTCAAACCGGCCGGTGAAATCTCAGGCCGATTACGATCAAGTCTCAAAATGGAGTTATCCCGCTTCTTCGAAGAATATTTAAAATGTTGTTCACATGTCTATCTGGTTGCATCTAAAAATAGAACAGACACAAATAAAACCACTTAATTTAATATTAAACGCTGTTTCTTTTTCATCCCGGTCAACCGAGATGAAATTTTCAGCCCGGTAGCCGGTCAACCCGGCTGTTATGTCAATCGCTTGTTGTGTTTCAATAGGATTTTATCCTTAGGCCGGGTTTGGTTCACGAAATGCCAAAGAGTGCTCGATATCATATAGCTAGATAGAGCAGAAATAGTCCTTTAAGACAACCTTTTGAGGTATATATATATATAAATATATATATATATATATAATAATAATAATATTTCAATTATATAGTGTAAAAAGAGTGCTCAACATCAAGAATTTAACAGAGCAAATAGTATTTTAACTTAAAATTGAGTCACAACTCTGAGTTTCACGCTGAGTGCGATCATCAGGTGACGGTGTTACAAGTGGTCACTTTAAGTTAATATATATATATATATATATATATATATATATATATATATATATATATATATATATATATATATATATATATATATATATATATATATAGCGTAATATAGTTTTTCGTTTTAACCACAACAGTCTGTTTCATCCGTATAGGAATCAGGTGGTGAGTAATTTCGAAAATATAGCCAGGTTGCTTTTATGCTATCGAAAGAATGCGCGGAATGCGTGTAGGCGAACCAATGCTTAGGCGAAACAATTGATGCTTAGGCGAAACAGTGCTTAGTCGAAACAATGCTTGGGTCATAAAATTTTGTTAACGACCTTGTTTACTCGAAACCGGTTTTTGTGACGACACTTGCCGAAAATTTCGCTTCTTTTATTGAGTAAATTATCTTTGTTTACTATGTCTTTCAAAATGCAAAATTTTTCTTCCAAACTAAATTGCAGCGTTTTGATCCCCCTGTGTACGATATAGCGTGTTTTATAAAATTGACCATTTGATGGTATAATCCTGATTGTTTTCTTTTAATTTTCGAAAGTTCCGTTTTGTTTGAGTCTTTTTTATGACGAAAAGATGAAGTGTGGTTAGCGTAACGTTCCTTTTTAAGGTTTTTTGAGGTAAAACGAAAAACTATATTACACTCTATCTATACCGTATTGAGCACTGTTTGTGTTTCGTAAACCAAAACTTAAGCTATATATATGGGTTTACGTATACAGCTATTTCAATTAAGGTTGTACACGAGCAAAGCGGAAAAGTTGAATACGAGCGCGAGAGGCTGCCGGGAATCTCTTTGAAAATTCATTAATTTGTTAGCGATTCCCAGCAGCCTTTTGCGCTCGTACTTCGACTTTTCCGCTTTGCTCGTGGACAACCTTAATTGAAATAGCTGTATATATGTGGGTTTACCACATCGTTTGCTTGATCGGTCGGTCTAGATGATTTTTACACTAATAGATTGTGTTTTTATAACGAAGCGTGCTTTCCTTGCCAAAAACCTTGTGTCCACTGAAATCTGACCTAACTTCTCGCTTGACTAATGTAACCCAACTCTCAATGATATAGAGGATGTCGTGTCATATATGATAAATACGAAATCTTTCAGGAATTCTTGTTGCAAATTTAAATTTTATTGTCCGAATTAATATAATATACAACTTGTAATTTTCCAATCGCGCTCCCTTGCCACTCTACCCTAATGACATTTTTAATTTACCACGCGAAATCCGCGTGACACGTGACCAGCTCCAACCAGAGTCTTTCCTCCACTGTGTTTCCTCCACAAGAGGGAAGAGCTTGGGAACGAGGTTGGGGACCAACCTTGAAGGACAGCCTATGTAATATAGGTAAAAAATTAATAAATAGTGTCCTGTTCCAAATGTTGATTTTTGGTACGCTATCACCTCTATCACCTCGTATGACGCTATCACCTAAGGTCGTGGGCCCATATGGCAAGTTGACCTCTGCCCTCTGCTCTTAAATTGGGATCCCTGATGGAAGCAATTTAAGTATTTTTGAGGAGGCAGCCAATCTTTGAATGGAGGTGGGCATGGAGGTCTAGAGACCACCAATCAACCCAAAACTACTTGTCGGTCTGCAGGGGATGGGAATGGATCCTGCAATCAAACTCCAACTGGTATACAACCATGCAGTATACAACTTGGCTCAAATATATATATAGCTTGAATTTGGCTCAAATATATAGCTATTGTCTGTCAGCTACACTATTATTTTTAGTGTTCGCCCTGCCAACAACAGCTGCAACTCTGTCGCAGGACTTTCCATCTCCAGGGCACAAAATAGAAATAGGGCAGAAGCTTCACTCGAGTCGTAACCTTTGAAGTTTTTGTGCCGGCACATGTTACTTCCGGGGTCTTGGCCGCCATGTCAAAGATTAGATACGATAAAGATGTGCCACTCGACGTATTTCCCTAATGTTTGCGTGTCCGTAATTTTCCGTGCTGATCACGAGTGATCACGCGAGATGACGAGTGTATAACACTTACAGACTCTTACTGCCAAAATGGCGGCGAGACTGATGACGTTGGATTTTACTATTTAGAGACTGATGGCGTTGGATTTGACACTTACTGGCAAAATGGCGGCTATAAAAAAATCTCGGACATAATTTTCGCAGAGTGGCACATCTTTATCGTATCTAATCTTTGGCCATGTTGAAAGCAACCAACTCTGGTCCAAAACATATTTATGACTGGGGTGGGCTGGCAAAAAAAAGGGGGTGGGTCATGAGGTATTTTTGACCGAAAAAGGGGGAGCCACCTAAAATATTGGTTCAGAAGGGGGTTCCAGTTATTTAATATAGTGGTATTATAGTGGAGAAAAAATTGACATGTAACGATTATTGCTACCACAGGGAGCGAGCAAGGCAGCAAATTTAATTCATGTATAGCTAGCAAAATTCTCAATTTTAATGAACAGATAGACACAAAATGCAATGCACAAATACCTTTAACATCTAACTTTTGCCATGAATTTGCCATAATTTTTTGTCATATTTCAATTATGTACATTTTAATAAAAAAGATAATTAACGAGTAAGCGATGTAGCAACATTACGTCCAGGGAAAGTTTGGCATATACTATATACACTAGTGATACTAGGTATTTTATATACATGGTTTAATTTAGTAAGGAGTTGGTTTACCGTGTCAAGTCCGAGTCAAATCCGAGCCCGAGTCAAATGTCTGGTCTTTGTAATTCATTGACGTAGTACCCTAACCCTACTCTTAACCTAGAACCATAGCAACCCAATAATTTGATAATAATCATTCTTTTTCCAAAATCATGCAGACTTCTATCATTTAAATAATATAGGCTAGCTTTAAAATACTGACAATTGATTAATTTTAAGCGGCTACATATCCATGACAAACTGCAAAGAATGAAGATATTTCTCATACTTTCCTGCAACTTATCCAATATATAGTTAATTTAAATACGCCTTCGCCCATTTAGTGCTACTAAATTGTAAATTTCGACATACTAAAATGCTGTTTTCTGACATCAGAATTCTGTCAAATCTTCCCCAAAGTCAGGAAATGGCATTTCAGAGACTAAATTTAAAAATTTCCTCGGGCCTTTGGCCCTCGCTTTCAGCTCCCCAATCAAAAAGAGCTTCCTACAGCACTGTAATCCTAACCCTACTCCTAACCCTATACTCCTAACCGATTTTACTCGTCAACGGGGAAGCTCTGCTAGGCATGTCCCGATTGTGCTCGGCAACTTTTGAGCAACTTCTTGCGTTTGGCCGGAGCAACTTCAAGTAACTTTTTCCTTTTTGTTTGATCAACTTTTTACTACACTCTTAGTAGTGAAAAATGCTATGACCCCCAGCTTTAGCCTCTTCGGCGCTCTGCAGTTTAATTAATGGTTCCCAAAAAATCCGACAATGTCTCTAGTTAACCCATTGAGCCCCAGTACTTATTTTTTTACTTGTTAACGCCAGACGATTTTACTCGTCAACTGGCGGAAACTCTGCAGCGTAATGGGCTAAATAAGCATGCATATTAATTGTTGAAAGCACAAGTAAATGAAAGATCTGATGCATGGGCGTACCGGAAGGAAAAAATTAGGGGGGACGGAAAGAAATTTGCCCGACTTTTCCGGATTGTGCCCGACCAGTACTGAAAAAAATTTTTCCGGAATTTATTTTTGCGACCTCCCCCCCCCCGGCGCCAAAAAAAATTCGGTCAGTGTACCATTTTAGGGGTCAAAAAATTTTTCAGACAACCTAAATTTTTCGTAACATCACACAAATTTTCCAAACATCAAAGAATTGACCACAAAATTCACAGAATTTCCCACAAAATTGACAGAATTTGTCCCATTTATTTTTATAATAAACCAAAATTGCCCGACTGTTGAGCGAATATTGCCCGACTGCCCAACAACGGGGCTGCCGACCCCCCGCTGATACGCCCAAGGTATGATCTGATGCCTTTGCCAACAAGTTTAAAGAGCTCATTTCTATGCTGCAGTACTGTACATTTATTATATTGTCGGCGGGTGCATGGTGCATGGGGGTTACTATTTTCTAGAATTTATGTGAGCGGGTAATTGAAGTTTTTTGTGATGTAGGGGGTGCGGCAGGACATTTTGTTTAGTTGTTAATTGAATTTTGCCAGCCCACCCCCGGTCATAGATAATGAATGGTCCCTAACTAAGATTTTCTCTGACTGTACTGTTTGTAATTAAGGATTAGCTATAGTTTTATTGTTTGTATATGTATCTGTTATATTGTAATATATCCTTTGTACCAGTAATGATGTAATGGAATAAATATATTATTATTATTATGCCTTGGACACTAGCCTGCATGGCAGGCGGTCCCTAAAATCGGGCAAGCCTGGAGACCAGACCGCCTGCCATGCAGGCTACTTGGACACCGGAAAAGAAAAACGTAAACAAAGAAATGACAACATCGTCAGGAATGAATGACCACTGGAATAAAAGACTGTCTTTGTTAAATTTCTACGTCTGTTGTCTAAAGAGTGTTCCTGGCTTCACTATTGTATGTTTTTGACTTGTCCATATGGCGGGAAATAACACGAATCAAATACCTCTAGCGCCTCCATTGCCACCAGTAATACTTGCAGTAAATATTGACGTAAAAATTGTTCAAGAATTGCTTGACGCTTGTCGTTCTGGCCAGGCCGATAAGGTGTGTTGTTTTAATACTTGTTTATATATACGTAATTTTTATTGCACTTTCTGTGATTCAATATAGCTTAGGTATACTGTTCAAAACTTTTATTTGTATATTAATATTACTGGCTAATTAGATATCTGCTGTAACGTACAATATAAATACTATTACTAATACTGCGCACTTTGGGCATTTTTGAATTAACAAAAATATATATGATGTCATACATTCTCAATTGGAATGTTTACATTGGGCAGGCAATCAATCTCACCCATGCACTTCCCCACTGACCCCACACATTTTGATAATATTTGGTAATAATAGAAAATCAAATTGGAAAGTTTGTAGCATGCGGGCAACACTTTCAAGACATATCTGATAGAAATTGTAGTAAAATTGTACACCTAAACCTCAGAAAAACATAATTGCCTGTGGAATATTGTGAGGCTACACAACACAAAAATGGCTACCAAAATTTGATATCACCATATATAATTTTGCAAACTTCCCAATCTGGAAGTCCAGAAAACGGAAATATTGTCTGTGCAATAGTTTGAGGCCAGGGGCATAGCGAGTATCATATGGAGGGCGGGGTGGGGGATAGGTGGTACAGACCCTACTTTTACTGACAAAATCGGTGCTTTTACTGTGTTATTGAAATTGTTAAGAAATCGGTAATTAAAGTGAAATGAACATAGAACAGGTCAGTCATTGGGGGGAGATTTTAGGGGATATGATGAATTTAGCCGTTAATTCATCATGATACTAAAAAGCATTAATTCAGCACTTGTCACATAAATTTTCATAATGTATAATTCCCTGAGTTGTTAACAGAAACCACTGCATGGATATTTTTTGTTAAGCCTAATTCATATGTCACTCCCTATCATTATATTAATTAATTACCATATACCAAAGCAGGGAAGTAAATTTACTCCTCTTTTCGCATAAAAGTAAGTGGCTGGAAGTAATCCCCTTAATTTATTTTAACCCATTCAGTACTGACAAGTAAAATCATCTGGTGTTAGACAGAGTAAAATAATAAAGTAGGGTGCATTTGGACTCATTGCTACTAAGGGTTAACAGGGTGCATAGGCATATAGTCTGATCAACGTACCCATTGAGTGGCAGTACTCTCCCCCTGACAGAGTAAAATAATAAAGTAGAGCACATCTGGGTAAATTGCCATGCTCTTATATATAAGGGTTAAAATTAAAGTATATTGTAATTATATTGAATTTCTTGTTTACAATTACTGCAGCTTCAAAGTTTGATGCTGGAGGTTGGAAATGAAATTAATTTTACAAATGGTAGGTTAAATGAAACAATGCTACATATTGCAACTAGAAGTGGACATACAAGTTGCATGAAAGTATTACTTGACAACAATGCTGATGCAAACTGTATAGGTAAGTTAATCCTCTATTTTATTCAATAAACTATAAGTGCTATATGAATAAAATAACTAGAAATGATTGTATATAACTCAATCATCTTCAGAAATATTGATAATATTATAAATACTTTATTTACTATATAATTCCTGTGTGTTATAATCTGTGTAATTGATTAAAAGAAGCCAAAGGCAAAACAAAACATACAGTAATACATGCATGTGCAATCAAGATGTCAGTAACGGAGTGGTTATATAAACAAGAACACAGGATATACAGATAGTCAGATTACTGAAACAAAATCTCAGTCAGTATAACAATATAGAATATGCCAGTGGATATAAACATCAGGCTGTCTTTCACTCCTTTCAGCATATGCAGAACTAGCACTGAGAAGTTTAATTGTCACATATATGTATATAGGCTCTCAGTCAAGATTAGATATCCAGGATCCCAGATAAGGTAGTACCCTATATGTAGTAGGGAAATCAGTTAGGATCTCAGTCATTAGTTAATATACACATTCGTCGAGTCAAGATGTCTAGAATGCCAGCTATTGATATAGCCAGGTCTTCAATCAGGATACTGTACTAATTAGACGGTCACTTAAGATCTCAATAAAAATACTGGCCAGGATCCCAGATAAGGTAGCAATTAAAGAACTCAGGCGAGGAGCCGCAGGTATGCCAGTTGTTACATGTAGTCGTGCAGCTTACACGCGATCTCAGTCAGGATATAAGATTACCTGTAACTCAGTTATATAGGATTTCAATCAGGATATGATAGATTCGGTTACATTTTCGCCATTCTCGTACCCAGAGCCCTTCTTACGCGCGTTCGACCGAGCCCGACGAGGGGCTCTGGCCAAATCCATATCAAACTGGCTTCTGATTGGCCACAACGAAATATATGGTTTATTATAGTAAAAATGAATAAAAATACACAAGCGCTCCACGAAGCGTTGGTTTCCCTTTGAAAATTGGGAGAAAAGACATTATTGAAGTTGAAAGAACAGCAGTACGAAGTAGTTAGGAAGATTGTTGTTGATAATCGCCCACAAAAGCGGTGGATGTCGCTAATTTTATTTATTTAAATCGTTGATTGAAATTAATAGGTTGAAACGTGATGTTCTCATAGCAAAAAGTCAGCATATTTATGGCAGATGCTCGTCGTATTTCCAAATCAGTGATGTTAATCAAACAAATCTGTGTTACATGTTCAAAGCTGAAGTGCCATCTGAAGAGAAAATATTAAAGCCAGCCAGAATATGAAGTTAATTGTGATGACTATTTTCTTCCTAGAAACCGATTTTTTACAATTTTCAAATGATTTGCAGTATAGTATGTCCTATGTATGACTGTTGACTTTTAATAAAACACAAAAAAGTCTAAAAATCTGTACAACAGCGACTTAAAATCGAATATAAAATAGTGAGACAATCTCTCGTCTTCGTATCCGTAGCCATTACTGCTTTGGCAACGTTTAAGAGGGAAATATATACTAAATTTTTATCAACATGCATTGGGAACATCACGTCTTACTACTAATTGATTTAAATAAATAAAATTAGCGAAACCTACCGCTTTTGTGGGGTTTTCCTGGAGAAAAACCTCCAAAACGAAACAAACAAGAAAGCTGAAGTGTTTATCCGCGTTTGACGTTGAGCATGCGCAGTGTTTAACCGGATACCATGTTTTTATGGTATCCGGTTATGGATTTGGCCAGAGCCCCTCGTCGGGCTCGGTCGAACGCGCGTAAGAAGGGCTCTGGGTACGAGAATGCATTTTCGCTGAAAGCGTTCTCGCCCCAGGCTATTTCCGCATCACACGTCGATCAGCGCACGCACACTCGTTGCACCGCCCTATCACAGAGTAGAGACATACAGAGCTGTAACTGACCGTCGTAAACACTGCGGAAGCTTACGTTTTCATGTACCCACTTTTTTCAGGCGACTGGTCAAAAAATGATCAACTACGCGTGCTAACGGTTAACGGAGGTCAAAACTCAATCTTGGATTGTGTTTTTAAACTGAATCTTTCCCCCCCAACGAAAAGAAAAAAACAACAAAAAATCATTTTCACACGCTTTAGTTTTTGGAATTCCGAGAAACAGGTTATTTGAGCTGGGTTTCTTTTCAAAATAAAACGACATGTTTATGTTAATTATAAGTTACCTGTATCGACAGCGTATATTTTGTGTCTTGTGCCCACCATAATTAGATGGCATGCATGTTTGGATTTCTGATAAAAATTTCGATCAAATTAGCACAAAATGAAATGGGATGATTGAAGAATAACAAATATTACAAATAGAAAGTAAATTTTTTGAACTAAAATCTAAAATTTACACAACCTTGAGCTGGAAGAGTGAAAAAGCCGCAGAAAAAATACGCTCGAATACTACTACATCGATGTATGGCGCCTTTGGTATTGCACACTGTTTACATAAGATTACATCATTCACAAACCACGCAGTTACATTCGGCTAGCAACGTGGCGGCAACATAGTCTAAAATGCTGAAATAGCAAAAGCTTTCAGGGACTTTGCCTACATTCGTGCGTCACAAAAACTGAATCTTCTTTTCTAAAACGGGGGTCAGTAAAAGTGCTTGGATAAAGCCCTGCAGGTCGTCATCCAATCAGATGCATGCATCTAGTAACTTGCCGAGCATGCGCACAAAAAAGTGAGTACACTAGTTACAACTCTGTATGTCTCTCCTCTGTGGCCCTATATATAAACTCCCTGATCTGGAAGTGCGGATCAATTAGACGTAGTGACGCTTAATGAATATGATTGCGATCGAAGACCTTAATAGGATGCGAACCATGCCAATTCGTCAGTAGAAACACCATTGGCAGATAATTTCTTCAGATTAATAGCGTGGTCAACCGTGTAGAAGGCCTTGGACAAATCCAAAATTCGAAAGTGCTGTTGTTGCAGAGCACTTTCGGCGGAAACCAAACTGATTATCATTAAGAATATTATTTTCAGTTATTAAGTAATCATAAAGTTGAGTATAAACAGCTTTTTCCATTTTAATGAGCAAAACCAAAGTTAAAACTTGCTCAATGCAGGTAGAACTGATATTGGACTATAATTACTTGTATTCGCTCTGTCCCCAGATTTATACAAAGGAATCACCTTCGAACATTTCCAACTTGAAGGAAATATATGATTTGGATGGTCGATTTATGAGCTTTGCAATCGAAGGAGCAATTACCTCTGATGCATCTCTGACTAAGTATAGCTTTATATTTATCTTGTCCAAACCAGTTGCTTTCGAAGCTTTGAGAGATTTTAGATGTTTAAGGACGAATGACTCATCAACAGGAAGGATATTAAAATATTGACCATTTAGTCTAGGACCTGTATATGAGTTTGTATGCAATTCATTTAGGACAGGTAATCTCAACTGTTTTAGGGTAAAATGACCATGGCAGTCAACATGGCATAAGTGCGAAAACCTGAATCCGGGACGAAAGTCCTGAAAATGACCCCGCCCTGAAACGGCAGTGTCGACATAGCTCTAACTTCCGAAAAGGAAAAGCGACAGCCTTTCTGAAGTGCTTATAGTGTTCAGAAGGGTTGCTTTTAGGGGTGGTCATTGGAAGGAAAAATTTGTCTAAGTATAATATTTTACAAGAAAATGACTATGCACCACCCTAGGTAAATTGCTGATTATGCACAAAATAACTAATATGCCTGGCAGAAATTAAATTTTCTTATTTCCTAAAAAAAATTATCATGGGATGAAAAACTATGCTTAGTTCAATATAATTATTGTGGATTATCATAAGGATTGTCATTGTTTTCTTTTAAATTATTGTGGATATAATATAATTATTCAATATACTGAAGTGGCATTTATCGGACAGAGAATCGGCGAGCCATTAAAATGGCGGCAATTTGACGAAATATCGAAGGACACAATGTCGAAGGTAAAATACACTGCACTGTCTCACAACTTGATGAAACTTGGTTGAAATATTCTTTAGCCATTTATGATTATGTAAAAGTACAACAACTGGATGATATTTGCGAGACTCGGCGATAAAAAGCAAAAAAGACGGCAAAGTATGGCTGAAATCGTGTTTTCTCGTGGGGGGTAAGTGAAATAAAATGTGTTATATTAAAAGAAAACCATGACAATCCTTATAAAATCCACAATTATTATATTGAACTAAGCATAGTTTTTCATCCCATGATAATTTTTTTTAGGAAATAAGAAAATTTAATTTCTGCCAGGCGTATTAGTTATTTTGTGCATAATCAGCAATTTACCTGGGGTGGTGCATAGTCATTTTCTTGTAAAATATTATACTTAGACAAATTTTTCCTTCCAATGACCACCCCTAAAAGCAACCCTTCTTAACACTATAAGCACTTCAGAAAGGCTGTCAATTTTCGTTTTTGGAAGTTGGAGCTATGTCGACACTGCCGTTTCAGGGCGGGGTCATTTTCAGGACTTTCGTCCCGGATTCAGGTTTTCGCACATATGCCATGTTGACCGCCATGGTCATTTTACCCTAAAACAGTTGAGATTACCTGTCCTAAATGAATCGCATACAAACTCATATACAGGTCCTAGACTAATTAGAGAAATAGTAACTTGAAGCATTACTTGGAAAAATATTGACCTATAGTTGCGAAATACATGATTGTTCAAAATAGAAGCAGTCCATTTATTGTTTGTATATTCAACTCCGTCCGAGATAGTACAAGTTGGGTTGGACGATTGGCATTTTCTAGATAATGCTTCATTACCGCATTTCTGGGAGTCACCTACCTTTACTTTCCTCAACGAAACTGATGTGATGTATAATATTTCGATTTGCGAGCCTTAATTTCTTTATTCGCAATGTTCCGAGAGTTTCTACATATATGATTGCCAATGATGGGGACAGCCTGATTCTCTTGCCTTTCGATAACAATAATCGCGGTCACGCATAAAAATCGCTGATGTTTGAAGTCATCCAGGGTGTATTTATCATTGTTAAAGCAGGTCTTCCCCCAATTAAGGGTTGAAATTGATAGGTGCATTTTGATCTACAATTGTCAAAATGCCATTTTATTTAAATATTGGCTTCAATGAATTCTTGTATGTTTTTGGTTTAGTACCCTCCCTTTTTATCAAAATATATTTCGACCCCTTCCTTCAAAACCTTATTCGGTTTCGAATCCATCCCAAATAGCTTCAACTCCTCACGACACATAAGGCAGTTAAGATTCACATTTGAACGGCAAATGGCAGAGCTCGAGTCGAATTGTCTTGACAGAATTTTCATTTAACTTTTTCGCTTCATATATTCTCTTTCTTGAATATGTCAAAATGATTACACATTGCAGTAAATACTGTTTTAAAACAACAAGTTCATTTGTTTTTTGCCTGGCGTTTGTCATTTGAAGTATGAACGCGAAGCTTAAACTCTCTAATACTGAACGTCGATCCAGTAACTCCAGACAAAGGGCCTTCGCTCGAAACGTCGAAACCTTAATATATATTTTCAGGTAGTTGTACGTATCCCTACCAACGAAAGCTTGTTCATTTACAAATTTCAGCAAGTTATTAATTAAGTCCTGGATACTTATACTATTTAATGTTTACCTTTAGACAGCAAAGGAAAGAATGCTCTTCATAGCGCTTCGGCTGCAGGGAACTTGGAAGCATTGAAACTTCTTATCCAACATGGTGCAGAACTAAATAAAAGAGATAAATACGGCAGAGGAGGATTGCATTGGGCAACAATATTTAATCATGTCGAATGTGTTAAAGAACTTATTAATGCAAAAGCTGAAATTGTATGTGAAGGAAACTGGCAACCATTACACGAGGCAGCAAAAGCTGGACATAATGACATCATTAAAGTTCTTCTTGATGCTGGATGTGATGTGAAGAATCCTTCCAAATGTATGTCGTTATACATAACTATTAACTAACTAGTGCCGTCATTTTAACAAGCAATGTTATATGTCTTCGTTGGAAAAAGCCTAGTCATCTTTACCGACTTGTTCATTATAAAAATGTTGGGTATGATGTTATTAAATGGAATGCAAATTAGTTTACTTTTTCTGATATAAAATTATTTCAAATGACATCTTATCCAGCAACTATGACAGTGAAGAAGTTAATCGAGGCGAAGTTTTTTACTGCAAACTTTAAGTTATACTATTATTGGACGAGGTTAAGCTAGTTTTTAATTGATCTGCGGACCACATACAAATCGCGATAATTTGCGATACGTTCAATAATTGTTTTATATACACATGAAATACATTTTTGCCAGGAAAGCTCGACAAAGTTTGTCGTTGCTTTCCATTGCCTTAAGCTTCGTCCACCGTCCACGTAAAATTTTCGTTGCTCAGCTGCAACAACGTTTTCTATCGCAACCATATCATTTCCCAACAAGCGAAATAAGTTTCTTAATCACGAAATCTTAATTTGCAAATTAAAGTTCACTATTAATTAATAATAAGCAATTTTGCAAAAGTGTCAAAAATGAAGCTAATACGCATGAGCAGATCATTTGCAGCTGAGCAACAGTTTTGGCCAATGTTCGTGCACATGTTATATTTGCACCAATTATTTGGAAGAAAATTAGCCAATCAAAATTGAGAAAATAATCATGTGAATGATAAACTGCATTTATTATTTCATTTCTTCTTAAAATGACCGAAATATTAAAAATATCAACAATCATTTTGGGGTTAGAGACACTTTTAATAAGTCTTTTACCTACAATTCTACATCTTTTCTATCCAGGTGTCGATGTTGTTGACTCTGCATGCTTTTTAGTAATGCGAAAATTGAAGATAACCTCAGCTTTATATGAGCATTTTAAAAATTTTATTCAATGGTACAATTTTAATAGTTTGTAAGATTTTATCTGCATCAGCTGCAAATAGTTGCTCATAGATGCTTGTGGGATTACAGGATCAGACTACCTGAAAAATATAACTTCGACGATATTTATCAGGTAGTGTATCGTTAATCTCTACCTACACTGGAGCCCGCCCGGCCACATTGAAGATTTGAAGTTTACGTCCTAGTTCAAACGTTGAACTTTTCATGTTCCGACCCCGATGAGCTCAAACAGTGGATTCATTGAATAATTGAATAATAACACTTGAATAATTTACAATTGAACCAAGATCTGGTTATCAGAGGCGTACATATCATTCAAACACATCACGCTTTCCTTAACGAAAGACAATTTTTAAATAAATTACAGAACCTGACATAACTAACGGTTGACATCCGGAACATTCCAAATTATAGTTATTCCGGCAAGTACTTAATTATGAGGTGCCGTGTGTTGCAAAATTCGTGTTTTTGTCGTCGTCATGGTACTATTTATTTATTAACTTTACAATCATACAAAAAATATAACAATGATTGAAGGTATGGTCAACAGGACATGAGTCCCATGTATAATATATGCTGAAATACACAAAGCTTGCATTTCACTGTGTGAAACCCAACGAACGCATATGTTGAATCACGTAATTACTACTAAAAGGTTGGAATTTCAGTCTAATTTCGTGTGAATACACCCTTCCGGAAAGTACGTCACATTGACTATAGAGCCTCGTTTTCGTGCATGTGCATTTCGTGTAAACGAGTTGAAATTGCATCACGATTACATGAGCAGTTTGAGCTCGGGCTGAGTTTAGTCAGAGCTATATTTATAGTCAACCCAGGTTGAAATGTCAGCCCGGGCTGAAATAATCGAGTGTCACGAAATAGGACAATAAGCCTGATACGCTTCTTTGAAGCACTCAGATGCTGATTAGTCGACTATTTGACTTGTGTGAGACTGTGGTTATATGTAAAGTATTTAAAGATGAAACAAAAACGCAATATAAAGCCATTTAAACGGTTGATTTTTTAGCCCGAGCTAAAGTTATTTGCGATTACATGCTGCCGGGCTAAGTTTCAGCCCGGGCTGAAACTCATCCCTGACTGGAATTTTGGTCATGTAATCGCTTGCTGTGTTTTAAAAGGATTTTATCCTTAGGCCGCGCCGAAATTTCAGCCCGGGAAACCGGGCTGAAACTCAGCCCGGGCTGAAAACTCTCCATGTAATCATCCCCTTAGTGCATTTTTATCACGAATTTCACTCTATATTCGTGCGAATGTCAGCTGCATATTAGTAGAACAATCAGTTTTATGTGCCGGAGGTTTGGAAATGAAATCAAAAGAAATGTCGGTGAAATTTGAAAAATTCCGATCAAATTTCATTGTGTTGTGACTTCTGAATGACCAAAATAATAATTATTATAATAATTATTTTGATGTGACGAAAATAAAATAATGATCTTTAAATTTAGTTCCTGGTCCAAGACGACCGTGGTCACCATTACATGTTGCGTGTCGTCAAGGCAACCTGGATACAGTAAAATTACTGATTGCGTCGGGAGCGAATGTGAACACAGTTAATGCAGGAGGTCATACGCCATTACATGAAACAGCATACAGAGGATTTGATCAAATATTGATGGAATTATTAAAGAATGGAGCCAAACCTAACGCAATAAGTAATCAGAAAAGGACACCACTACACGAGGCTTGTATTCAAGGTATAAAATGTGTTGTTACTACGATTTGCATTTGACTTTGAAGCGTTAATGTTTTGTGTTAAATTATCGACTTGATTAATTAAGTTACAATAAGACATTCGGTGACCCAGATAATTGCTGAAAGACAGATGGACACAACCCACGAGGCGGAACACTTAAGGTGGCTCAATACACTTTTCAAAAATTCAGGTGTTCAACAATTTGACATGTCCAAACTACTTGTTTTTAGGATTTATTCAGCAGAAATTAGGGTTTTTATATTATTTGACATCTCTACTTTCAAGTTATATTAGTTTTAGTAACAGATAGTTTGTTGCTATGACGACATACGCGTACGAAATTCACTCCAAAATGGCCTATCGCCTCGTATTGTTGGAAAAGAAGCATGGTGACCCCCCAATTTTTTACTTGAAAGAAAAACTAACAATCAGCAAAATATTAAAAAATTCTGTAATGCTATTTTTTTGGAAAATGCGAAAATGTCGTACTCTTCGGTAAAATGTTTTTGGCATTACAGAATTTTTTTACTTTTTGTATAATGAAAGTTTTTAGCGATGCAATATAGCATGCAAAATTTGAACATAGGTCACCAGACAAAATAGAGAGATATAGCGCATTGTTTTCTAAAATGGAAAATTCTAATGACGTCAGCAATTGACATAGAACACACGCAATTGACATCTTAGAACACGCGCAATTGACGTGAGATGGCGCGAGCAACTACTCATGCACGTCACGTCATTTTGGAAATTCTTTCATTTTGTTAATCAGTTTCCACGACCTGCGCGTAAAATGGTCATCCGGTTTTGTTCGCGATTCTTGAGCAGGGTATTTGTAAAAATGTGGAAAGTTATTGCATTTTTTGGGGGACACCCTGTATATTAATGTTGCCTGTATTTAATTTAAGGTAAACCAAAAGTGGCCGCTTTGTTGCTGGACGCTGGTTCCAATATTCACGCTCAGGATGTTGTCATGAACACGTCACTACACTACGTTGTAAGCGCAGAGTATGCTAAAGAAATCAAACTAGAGTTATTGAACATTTTGTTGTGTTATGGCGCAAATTCCATGATATTGGGAAAAGACGATGACACTGCTATTGACGCTGCACATGCTAATTACTTTCTTGATGGCATTGATCTCATGAAGGAAAGTCTGGGTAAGGCGTAACCATGTGTTGTAGCGAATCTATGACGGTTCTTGTCGCAATAGAGCCAGTCACATTGACAACAACCCTAAACGACATTTAAGCATTGTGTAAGATTAGAAGATTTTGTTAAGGTGTGTAGTAACCAGATGCGCTGGTAGTATAACAGGCCTATTCTAATGTAGGGTCTAGTCATATTGTGTGTAAATGTTTTGCATGTTCATCAGAACCTCTTTTAAGAATTCCTCACTGGAGGGGCCATCTAGGGAAAGGACCTAACTGAGAGGTTATGAACTGGAAAAGTGAGGAGTGTAGGGGGGAGGGGGTCTGAGGGTTCACCCCAACGAAATGTTTGTATTTTTGGCAAAAATGTCTGCATTTTCAGACACAACGTTTTTATATATTTCATCCGATAGGCAATGGTTTGGTCATAGGAATAATAAAACACTTTTAATTTTAAGCATAGTTTATTGGACGGGCGAACATGGGGGCTGGGAGGACTTGGTCCCCCAGGTTTCTATATTTAAAGAGGCCTCGATGTTCATGTCTGTTTTTGAATACATGCATAGTAGAAGAGAGATGCATATTCAATTGAAGACTATCTATTCAACAATCACAGTAATATATGTCTTTGCAGAAACACCTCGCTGCTTATCATTGCTGTGCAAGCTTAGGATTCGAAAAATGATGTTCAAACGAATGGAAGATTTTCATAGATTGTATTTGCCACTGCCTTTAATAAAGTACGTCATGGAAATTGAGGCTTTTTAGAGGTATGAAACTAAGCTGATATTTTTTGGTAATTATAACCTGCGTAGCGGGTTCTTGTTGGAACATAATTGTTCAATTTTTGAAAATAGAATTGAATTGATTGGCATGTTTACTGTATGCACAAGCGAATACAATTTTCGGCCTGCATTTTCCCCTAGTTGTTATTGGTAAATTTTCGCGATTGAAAGTTGGGTTTTACTGTATCAGTTCACTGTTCCTCTTTTCTGCTTCAACGAGTGCTGGCTGCACAGCCAATTAAAGTGAAAATATTTTGGGGCTTATACATGGGATGATGGGAATACTTGTATGATAGAGGTTCGGTTGTCGTTCTTATACTTAAAGTGGCTCCCTGCCGCTTCCTGAAATTTGGAAATGATTTTGAATTAGATTAAAATCTTTCAAAATTGAAGTACTGAACACTGCATGCATTAATTTAAAGTTAATCATATCGAAATCAATGTCATTGCGCATGCAGCTAAACATCGTCAATTTGGTTCATGCCAGAGTGCCTATATACAGTATAGCATTTTTCGCAGCTGTTCCTGGTTTGGTTTGAATAAAAATGTGTAAAATTTACACTCGAAATTTCCATTTACAAAATCCTTCAACATTTATTCAATCGAGTGAGATGCCAAAAAATCCTGATAATAATCCTAATAATTTTTCATGATCAATCTCCACATGTAAAAATATTTGTCCGTATAAGGTGACGTGGTAATTATATACATTCAATTTATAAAAGCCATATTTGATATGTTTTTAGTTTCCAAGAAGTAATAATTATACAAGAAATTGGATCTCAAAGTTTCCACATTTCAAAAAAGTAAGGGTCGTCGTAAGAACTTAGTGTAGAAATATGTAATTAAGTATAAAATTATAAACATATGAAATAAATACCGTATGTATATACTGTATCATGTAAAATAATTGAATTCAGTGTAATAATGAAGTATATCAATATTTCGTAAGACGGAATTTTCGTGACGAAAAAAATTCTCGTGTGCGGCGAGCAAACGACAAGCGCGCCTGAATAGGAAAATTTGCGCATGCGTGCAACTTGGCGTTAAAAACAACATGGCGGATCAAAATCACGAGCACGCATGCGCAAATTTTCCTATTCAGGCGCGCTTGTCGTTTGCTCGCCGCACACGAGAATTTTTTTGTCACGAATGACGAAAAATATCAAACATGTTTGATATTTGGTTTACATGTCACGAATGACGAAAATGCCGTAAATGTTGCCCGCACACGAGGAAATTTTGTCGATCCAACTTGTCACGAATAGCAAGTACGCGCGACAAGTGCGCTCGTGTGCGGCGGGCTTAAGTGTGATCGAAAAACAGGATCGAACCATTTTCAAGAAAATATCTAAATTTATGGAGCATCCCTTGTCATTAATGCCACTAAATATATTCGCTACAACTTATAATAAGGAAAAATAGTATTGTCACAGGCCTAAAGTTAAAACGGAACGTTTTAAGTATAAGGAACTTATAAACCGTTTAATATTTAAATGTGAAAAGAGTAAAAGTCAACGCTCTGCCGAAAGCCGTGGGTTTTCCCCGGGTACTCCGGTTTCCTCCCACAGGGAAAGTTGACAGGGTGGGTTAGGTAAAAAGGGCCCACAGTAATTGGCATATGCTGTTGTGGTGACCCTGCCCTAGTTGGCAAAGCTAAATAAATAAATAAATAAATAAATAAATATGACTTAGCAATTTACTATATAATGTAATTTCACATTTTAAAGTAGTTAGATTCATGTGTATTCTATATCAATTGTAATTCAATATATGTATTTTTATCTTGTGGATTCAATAAATACCAATAATTGATAATGTGATCTGCTGTTCGTGCTTGCATGGGATCAGTGATCGCGAACGTGGATAGTCTTTCCTTTCGACAATAATGAAACGTGTTTGATGTTCATGACAATGAGTATAGCCTAACTGCTTATCTGCGCTTGAAGTGTACATATTGTGCGGTCACTGGCGTACGTACCATGCTATCGGGGATGAAGGTTGGAGCGTGCTTCTATTTTTATTTAATTTAAAACTTCAGACCTTTTCATATATTTTTAATAAGGATCGAAATATTATTAAGACTAATTTACTGACGAATCTTCATTCAAATCACCAAAACCTACGCGCTTGTTCGTTTTGCCATTTAGCTGAGTTTGCATGGGCCACGTTTTACGTCGACTTCACATGTCACAACCAAGACATGAGTAATTGAATAAATCTGGATTGCGTGGCGTCGACGGTATTTAATTTCCCAATTACCTGTTGAGGTGTACCACAGAATCCCAAAAGAAAAACGTTTCTGACGAGCGTGCATACTTGGCGAGAATTCACAGAATCAGATGATTGAGTGATTCATATACACTTGTTACGCCTGAATACTTCGAAAGAACGTTAGAATCTGTGCCTGGCTCCGCCAAAAGCTAAAGCTGAAACCAGACGCGGTGCCACCCAGAAACCGGGGAAAAAGAAATCAAATCCGCCCTGACAAGAGACACTAGAAATAAATGCATGCTGCAACCTTCGCCTTTTTAAATTTCTTAACAGATGAAGTACAGAAATTGCACATGAAGTATTTGATGATTTAATGGTTCAATTGCTCTGTTATATGAGACAAGAAAAACGCGCACACAATTTATGTGGGAGAATGGGTTTTGGGGGTAAAGTACTCCGGTTACACTTAAACTATGGCCTGATCCCAACGACTCATTATAGCTTATGATCATCCCGCGGGGGTGTATATAAGACCCACTAAGAGACTGAATGCTCCATCGGAGCTCTGCCCGAAGGGTAGCGACCCCCTCTGACATAGACCTGAACCAAGGGGTGGTAATCCCCTTGGACAGTACCTACGATTCGACTGATTACATTCAATACATCTGAGTCTATGGGCCTGAAATTGACCATTGGGAGCACTATAACCCCACAAATACAACGTGTATTCCCCATAGACGAGGACCCACATATAGCGGAAAACATGCATGTTTTGAGTTAAACGAACTATAACTTGTATTTTTGTCGGCGCATTCGTTATCAGTTCAACAGATATTAATGGTTCGCAGTATTGACCAACATGGCTGATACTCCCGATAGAGTCGATGGAGGCGTCTTTATATAGCGTTCGTAACAATCTGACGACCATCGTCCTAAGGTTTTAATGAGCCATGACGGCAGTTAATTAGCTTCAGCAGCAGTTGTTGCTGCCCCTATCCTGTAGCTATGGCCCGCATAGTCTACGGCATTGAAACCCGCTTGAGCCGTCAACAGTTGCCGGGTTTTGATGGTTAAAGTTTGTTTTGTAAGAGGTTTTCCTGATGCATGAATAAACAGAGGCCCAGATGTTATGGGTCGACGCAAAAATATGTTTTCAAGGCTTGCACAGGGCAAACCTCAGAATCAGTGACCCCGACTGTGATAGTATGGCCCACCGGAATGGGTCCGTCTTTGATTCTTTAATGCGAACGGTCATAAATTGAGGGCTTTTTATGCCAAGATTTGGTATAAGACAATGCTATCTCGGGAAAGGTGAATATTTGGATTATATTTAGAGTTGCGTGTTAGCTCACCAAGACGGAGAAAGACAAAGTTTTGTGTGCTGGGGATCGCAAGCAACAGTCTAAAAACGGCTTCAAATGGTGAATAGTGATTGGTAGGCGAACTCTAACTTGGTCTCCGTGGGAACGTTTAATTCCTCGTAACACAAGTTGCAAGCGTAATATTTTGTGCAAGTTTAGCTGGAAACCATGGCGAACGTGGTGATGACGAACTGCTGCTAAATATATTTTTATGGAAGGATATTTGATAGATTTAGACAGAAATGCCACAAATTCTGTTAACAGTGATTCGTCGGCAGGCAGACATTGCTCAACCTGCATTCTCTTATGTAAATGTATAAATGATATGAAGCGTTTTTCCACCTGAGCTATAAGTTTGCTGTGTTGTAGGAGCAAGTGACAAGTTTATATACTCTTAGATGTCCTTATTCAAAGAGTCATGACTATGTCTGGAATTTGAGAAGGACTGCATGGTGTCTGCTTCTGGAGCCAAGCCCGAAACCTCTGGAATTGAAAACGAGAAATTGTATCGGCTATGTCATTGTGTTTTCCGGGAATATGGACAGCACGTATTTATATATATATATTGTGCTGCAACGTTAAAAGTGTTAAGTGTCGCAGTAGATCCATGACTCTGGGGATTCGAGAGCGTTTTGTATTTATCATGCTTACTACAGCCTCGTTATAGCAATGAAATGAAATGAAATGAAATGAAATGAAATGAAATGTAATGCGATGGTCATGTAGGAGATTACCCCAGATCTGGCATGCAATCACTATCGCAAAAAGCTCTTGCCAAGATATACTAATGCCGGGTTGGCCTAATTTTTGATGAGGTTTCCACTTTCCTTGAAACCATTTTGTACCAAAAATACCCCCAAAACCTAGTGTGCCAGAAGCATCAGTGTGCATGTCTAATGTATTGGAATCCTGCCACTTAGATGACAGGAAAAAGTGAGCACCATTCCAGTTAAGAATAAACTCTTTCCACATTTGAAGATCTAGTGAAAGAAACCGGAATTAAGCTTAATGTGGTGATGCTGCTTTTTACGTTTCTTATTAGAGCATAGTTAATATTAACTATGGTTAGAGCAATCATGCGTTGTAAGAAGGGCCGCCCAGGAGGAACGACTTTACATGCAAAATTTAAAGTGCCTATTAACGACTGCAATTCTTTAAGTGTACAAGATTTTCTATGTTGAAATTGCCCAAAAATGGCATGCAGCTTTTCAATTTTGTCGAGCTTGCATTTTGATAGTATCTAGCAAAATACTCATGAATTCAAGTACCTGTGAAGGCCCCTGTGTTTTCCCTTGGGCTATAGGGATCTTAATGGTTTCAAATGTAGATAGCATGTTTGTTAAGCTTTGCTGACAAGTACTGTCAAAAGGAGGCATAGTGGCTGGAGGCTCAATTAAGAGAAAATCGTCCAAAATATGGCAGACAAATGAAATCTTGCACGTATTGAGTAGAATCCACTCTAAGGCATCTGAGAGTGTGTTAAAAATTGAAGGGGCACTCCTTAGTCCAAATGGAAGAACCTTATCATAATGGTATTCCCCTTCCCAGCACATGCCCAGCAATTCATAGTCATCTGGATGGATTGGTACCAGTCTAAAAGCTGATTCAATGTCAGTTTTAGCAAGAAAGCAACCAGGGCCAAACCGCTTAATACCCTCGATAGCATCGTCTATAGTAACATACTGGAGACTGAAATCCTCTTTCGAAATACTGAAATTTATGCTGGTTGAGCCAGATTTTGGATATGATAAATGGAAAATTGTACGAAATTTATTTTAATTCTTTTTAGGCACTAAGCCAATCGGAGAGACCTGAAAATTCTGAAACGGCGGAGTATCAAAACGACCAGCCATGCGGCCAAGAGAAACCTCAGTTGCCAAATTTGAGGAAACAATATCCGGATTAGCAAAAGCAGTAGGCAAATTTTTTGAAAACCTTGGGGCGCGTTGCCCCTGAAACCCAATGCGTACACCTTGTTTAAAATTATTACAGAGCTGCAAAACAAAATTGTGGTCTGGGTGACCATGCAGAAAGTGCTAATTCTAGGTTTTTAACAGAAACAGGTGTTGGTAGTGGTGTATCTTTACTCGCGTTTGGACTTTGAGGATTTGGAACCACGTTTTGAGGTTGGCTCTTCATCATCAGCGGGTTTAGACTTGAGCAATGAGCATTTACAAAAATTTGGAACGCTTCACGAATTTGCGTGTCATCCTTGCGCCAGGAGCCATGCTAATCTTCTCTGTATCGTTCGTTCCAACTTTATTATATGTACTGTACTAGGCAGCAAAAACAATTGTGGTCGCTGTGGTAACGTAAAAATAATATTATGGGAAAATTGTTTTAACTTAATCATTGATTTTCAAAATCTAGAATGTAGTTTTATGTAATTTGGCTTTCAATAGACTAAAATTTAATATCAAGCTTGCGTAGTTTGCTCAAAAATACGGAAAAATATATTTGCTGTACAAGCTTTTTTTAGTTATATTTTGGCCATGCCACATTTGTTGAAAGTAGAAGACCATTATAAACACAAATAAAAACACAACTGATGCGCTGGATTAAAGAGTCATTGCCAACCACAATGCATTCTGCGCCCAAACCTATATTTTTCGGTTTTCAATCCATAATATATTACTACCATTCTGTGCCTTAATTAATGAATACGAATTATGTACTAAATCCAAAATTTTAAAGATAAATCACTGACAGACATTTCTCTGTTTGGCTAGTATCAAATGTTTACATTTGCTGATATTGGGCTCTACTCTCTAGTCCTAAACAATACAATGCAATACAATACTGTTTCTTTTAAAAATCTTATAAACAAGACGTGCAAAGCATAGCAACGTTTACAAAAAAGGACAAATCTAATGCGTGTTTTAAAAACATTAGATATGTAGAAATGGTGACCACTGAAAAGCCCATAAACGTTTGTTATAAAACCGCGCTCGAGTGTGAAGAGAGCATTGAATAATAATAACACGAGAAAGCACTGCGAGTAACGATTTGCTTGGTTTCTTGACTTGACTGTTGGTAAAAATGTAAGAATGTTCTTGTAAATTCAATGCAAATAAAATAAACAAAAATTAGCAAGTACTTTGAACTTACTGGTAATAGTTCGCAAAATTTATGTTTTTAACTGTTTGTAATTTGATACTTTCACCACACCCCCCTCGGGCAATCAATTTTGGACGAGGCACGTGACCAGCCGATACCAGGGTCTTTCCTAAAGACCCTGG